AAAAAATTGGAGCACTGAAATCAACAAAATAAAAAAAAGAGCCAAATGGTTTAAGTTACACATAACACTCAATTCATTTAGACTATCGTAAAAAGTTACATAGAGCACTAAAAACACTCCTCTGGCTAAAAATAAATATGTTTGTGCCAAATGAAAGAATAACCGAAAGTGACAAAGCCAAATCCAACTTTTGCAAAGGTTCTTCTAGTAGTCTTTTCCTTTGTATTTTAAATCTTCGGCATGCCAAAAGGAGTGCTCCAGAGATTCACTTTCATTACAATGAAGGCATAAAGATGACTGGGCCATACCTAACCTGTGAAGGTAAAAGTTCAATGGGGGAACCCGGCAACAAAGCCTTGTAATTACTATTTCTTCCTTTCTGAATGAAAACCACCTGCTCTCCCAAAGAAACTTTAGCTGAGGAAAATCTGACAAAAACAATGGAGATTTATCGAAGTTATTGCCCGTTGTACGTTTTTCAAATCGTGCTGCTGCAATATACGTCGATGAAGGCACTACAGAAAAAAACAGGACCATCATGGGATGACCTTGCTAGAGAATCTGCACATTCATCGAGTGCCAAACCTCTATGGCCTGGTGCCCACACTAGTCGTACTAGCAGCACATGTCTGGGAATGATCGAATAAGATGTCTCCAAAGTACGCGATAAATTAGGTGCGCTTAAAGCAGAACAGAGAGGCAGTCTGTTAGAATAACCACTGTTGATATATTCTGGGGCAGTTTACGCAATGCTAGAGCTATTGCCAACAGTTCAGTCTGATAAATAGGAGTAAAGACTGGTAATCATATTGAGAGAGTCCAATCTAAAGAGAGAGATACGATTCCCACATCTGCCTTCTTATCACAAATGGAACCATCAGTCGCTATCACAATGTTTGTTTCTAGATTGGCCAAGTGATCTAAAATGCCATTTAGATATTGATATGGTAAACTTTTAGCATTATAGAGGCATATATATCATCAAATTCAACTCTAACTGCTTCTGCAGTGCTGAGTACAAGAACCTCTCAGAGGTAGAATATTTGATAGGTCCAAAAGTTTCTGTACAAAAATCACTTGGGGGCAGCGTTGTTTAGGCTATTGGTGGTTAAAAAATGAGGTCTGCTGCTTAATTAAAATGTACTGTGACCTCTTCTGTGCTGAAGCATATATTTTTAAGAATATTTGTACTGTTAGAACATGAAATCTTTGAATGAGAGAAGGAAGGCGTGATTCCTCATATATAGAATATTGTTTGCAACAAATTTAGGATGCCCCAGACATAAGTGTAACGATTCACGTTCTAACAGAACCAGTGGTCTAACTTTATAAGCTAAAGCACCAGGTAACAAAACGCAGCTGAATTCTAATATTGGCCTAATGTACATGCGATAAATCATGACCAACGCTTCTCTACGCAACGCTTCTCTTTTCTACGTTTATTGCTCAGTGTTCGCACCATCTACAGTGCGCATGCCCCCTTCGCAACGATGTTTTCTATATGGGTAGTCCAGTTAAGTTTTTCAGTGTAGGTTATTCCTAGATATCTAACTGACTCAACCTGTGGCATAACATCTTGTTGGTAGAGCAATGAAATTTTCACTGGGACATTTTGTGCGAACACTACGATTGCGCTCTTGTTAGTATTGAGTGTTAGGTGAATACCCTCCAGCCACTTATCCAGGCTATTTATGTATGTGTAGAATATGGTAAAGCATATGAATGTCTCCCGATGTGGCGAAAGTGCGATGTCATCGGCATACACGCACACCTGTACATTCTGCTGTATGAGAATAGTACAGAGAAGTACATTAAATAATAAGGGTGATAATACTGACCCTTGCGGGAGCCATTGCGTTTGCCTATATTTTGAACAATTGACACCGAATCGCGAGCAATAAAATTTTCAATCACTTATGAAAGCAGAGACATTGTCACAAAGTTCTGTGGTATTCCTAAATTTTGAAGCAAATCGATCAGTTCCACCGGCTCTACACCAGTGGTTTTCAGCCATGGATGGGTCAGGGACCCCTTGTGGGCTGGTGTAAATGATGAGGGACCCCTTGCAGCAGAGCGGAGTGACGGGAGATACGTAGGTAAAATAACACAACTGGAGCGTGAAATAGGTGCATTTTATTTCTACAAAAACATCAAACAAATGTGCCACATCACTCCATTTTGGACAGTCTATGAATACACGGCACAGTCACGCTTAAAGAAAAATGCCGGTGAGGGTCTCGCGGACCATAGGAATGGTTTCGCGAACCCCCTAGGGTCTGTGGACCCCCATTTGAGAACCACTGCTCTACACTGTCATAGGATTTCATGATGTCTAAAGTGACTAAAGCAGAATATTGTTTCTGATATTGGGCCAGCTGTATTTTACTTTCAAGATCAATGTGCGCAATCAAATGGAGCAACTATGCCTGAATTGAATTCGACACGGGCTCATTGTCATTTTATCCGACATTCAGCGATCTACGCAACTACGCAAAATTATTTCAATGAGTTTTACAACAATGTCAGTTCTATAGGCCTGATATTATCTAAGGTAAAGCCAGCACTTTGCTTTTGCAATAACCGAATCACTTTTGCAACTCTCCAATCAGGAGGGATCCAAGAATTTCTTATTCAATGATTAACAATTTTGAGTAGCCCAAGAGGGATAAATTTTGCGTACTGTTTTTATTACAGACATCATTATACCATCAGGACCTGGAGCAGAATCAGGCATAGTTCTTACTACAGTTTCTAATTCTGCAGCTGTGACCTTTTAAAAATCCTCACTCCTATAGAGGAATTGGGGTTGGTATAAGAGAACAGTCCTGAAGCGACTTTCTAGAGCCTGGGCTATATCAAAAAGTCTCCAGTTCACCTGGTGTTGATATCACAGATTCCACGTTTTTCAGCGCGAGAAGGACTTTCTTAGTTCTCAGAAAGCAAAATAATGCTTTTCTATTGGCCGTCTTTGAAAGAAACTCGGACTGTTCGCTGTCAAATTTGTCCTTCGCAATGGCAACGGTTCTCTCAGAAATAATGACTTTATACTTATAATCACTCTAATTGCGAGGGCACTGGTTGAAACGTAATTTTTTCCATGCAGCTTTCCTTAACCTATAAGCCTACGGGCAGTTCGCATTTCACCAATAGTTGGTAGAAGCGCTTTTAGAACTTTGTATGGTGAATTCTATTCCTATTCAACGAGTCTTTTAAGATTTCGCTAATGTGGCAGTATCTGATTCTCTGTCATCTATTCGACTAGATAACGCCGCTCGTAATACTTTCTCAAATGTGCTGAAATTGATGTGCATAACCAACGGCCTAATCACGGATGTTACTGGACATAGCAGCTCAAACAGTATAGGCATGTGATCGCTACTAGTACCAGAATTAATTGTAGTCCATGATGAGATGCACAGGTTACCACTATAAAAAGTCAGGTCAAGCCCAGAATAGACTGATTGCCCATACAAGTCTGAGTTCTTGCGTTTGTACATAAGAAATTATTCTCACTAGTCCAGTCCCACAGACATTTCCCATTCAAATCAGTTATGAAGCCCCATGAAATATAATGAAAGTTGAAGTCACCCGCTAATACAATATCTTTCCGGCAATATGAAACTGCTGTATCCATAATGGCAGCATTTTGCACACCTGATGGATAATAGGTATTAATTAACGATAATGCGAGGTATCCGAAAATAGCAATGTTTATCGCTAGAACCTCACTTTCTGAAATCATTGTCTGATATGTAATTGCAGCTCTATGAGTGATTTTAGAAGATATAAATATTGCCAAACCCCCACCTCGAGAGGGGCAATCTAAGCGAAATTATGAATAATTTTTCATTTTAAAACACTTTTTTTTCTGCAAGCCAAGTTTCTTGTAAAACAATAACATCAGGGGAATAATCATCACAGTAATGAAATAAATCGGTAGCTGCTGAAAAGATAGAGCGACAATCCCACTGTATTACTTTATTTTGGTGGAATACCAGCGGTAGTCACTGCTTTTTCTAATATTCTATCTTTTGAAAAGTCGTTTTTCGATGAATATTATTTGCTTTGGCGTTCACTGAGGAACTTTGTGCTTCAGGAAAAGCGGTCTTTTCATTCTTCTTAAGTCAAAGTCCATTTGTTCCACTGGTAAGTCTTAGAAACCGGAGTCAGAGCTCCAATCTAACTCCTATGCAATGGGCACAGTTATTTTACGGCCTGTGTTCGGCATGCCAGGCTCTGGCTTCGAAGGGCCTGGTTCAGATGAAACCTCAGTAACCTCAACTGGTGAAGGGTCACAGCATATTAATTACCACCGTGCAAGACTTGTGTCAATTGAGTATTCACCACTTGAGCCATTGACTTCGTTTAGGCTCACGAATAGAGTATCCATCAACTTCGTCATTGCCCTTTTCACCATTGATGCTATTAGATCGGGCAACGACGACTCAAGCATCTGATTTGTCCGGTAGGCAGCGGTGGCATATCTGCGTGACCGCTCTGAAAGAACAGATCGGGCCTCACGCAGGAAGCATCGTTTCTGTTCAATGATCTCAGGAATCTGAAGCTTCTGCATCCTCGCAGGGCAACTTTTATCATCAGCTGCATGTGATCTACTACATGAACAACATATCACTTTTTGGGTTGAACATTCATTAGTATTATGTTGTTCAGCATAAGTGCGGCAACTCACATCTGATCTACATCCTTTTAAGGTATGGCCGTACCTCCAACACTTTCTACACTGAACTGGGTGCGGGATAGCGCTTCCACACAAAAATTGAGAAGCCATGCCTTAATTTCGGTCGGTTTAACTGTGCCAGCAAAAGTCACAATCACGGACTCTGTGGGGAGCTTCTTTTTTTCAACGTTACACGAACACCGGAATACAGACACTGCTCCTGCTACAGCAAACATATCTAGCATCTTGGTGTAAGGCTCGAGTCCACCCAACGAACCAGTGCCTTAACACAGGCCAAATGGGCAGGCACAAAACAGCTCACCGGATGAGAAGCGAATGTTGTGCATCTTAGTAGGTCTGTGATGCAGGCCTGGTCAGGCAAGCAGCACAGAATGCCTCCACATCCAAACTGGTGCACCTCAGTGATCAGTTGGTAATGATCGGAAATGTTCCACAATTCTTCCTGAATCAATCGCGGGTTTCTTGTGCGAATGGATTCAACATTCGTTGGAACCAGGGTCACAGGAATGTTGCTCAGACCACTGCGCAAAAAAAGATAGATTGGGAGACATTGTTAGCAAAGGAAGCTGACCAGGCAAATCTGCCTGGCTGGGAGCGAAAATAGACATCAGACTAATATGCTTATAAGGATGGTCTTCTAAATGTCGTGCCCCTGCCCAAGACAGCCTCCGACTGCTCCTAAATAAAATTCAGCTGTATGTCTCAATACCCATGTTCATACTTATATTACATACTAAGTTTCCACGTTTGATGCTTATTTGTACTGGTGCAGTGTCTTGGGAAGCCACAGCATCTGCCAGTTTGCTGTAGTGTTTCCAGCCCTGACATGGCACAAGCACTAGAATGCAGCAAGCATTTTTACTTGCGATGGTCTTACTCCTCAGGTTTCTCAAATGAAAGACAACGTAGATAAAGTTTTAATGCGCAGGCGTGGTGAAAAGTTTCAAGGCCACTATCTTATGTAATCCTACGACAACAAGGCCTGGGCCTCTACGTTTTAGCCTCTAATCAAATACAAAACTAGAAACGTTTTTATTAAACAAATTGTTCAGCATATTCATGTACAGTTTGGAAGTTCTATTTTCGAACACTGTATTTTTCTATGAGCTATAGCATTCCTTATGTATTTTCTCACTCTAGCGTTTCCTCTTGCACAGATATGTTCTTTTTTGCCAATGGAAGTGTATTTCAATGCTAGCAGTAAAATTACTTCTGCATGTGCTCACTGTAGACAGGCAAAATTTGTGCTCGATTATTTGAAGTTCCTAAATGCTGCACATATCTGAATTTTCCAGTTACATGATATATAGAAGCACAGTCCATGATAGTTCTGAATTCAAAAAACCGTTTATCTGTAGCTTCATATAAAACTGTGAAATTGCTCTGATGAACAAAAAAAAGTAAGCATTTCCAGGAACCTCACTTTTTTGTGTTGCACTGCCTGCTGTAAGCTATTTCCAGCTCATGTCAGGAATTATGTAAAACAAGACTATAGAGTACATAGAATTTTGCTCTTGTCAATGCACTGTAGTCATTTCAAACTCTAATGCATGACATATCTGCCTAAAACAACACATTTGTGATGAAATTTTATCTGCAAGGTCACAATGATAGGAAGCATGCTGGTCTAATGCTACTCTTTTCACAATGCATACAAATTGAAAATAGATGTGAAAACAGATAACATTATTTATGTTGAAGTGGGCTAGCACTGTTTGAAAACTTCATATATATATTTATATAGCTCACACCTACACGCGACCTGCACTGAGAAGCAAAGACAACAATACCTTAATGATTTTGCTTTGTTAAGCCAGATGTGAAAGCTAACTTGAGCTAGTTGGTGGTTATGCATTATTGAAGACTGCAGTGCAAACATAGACACAGTCTAGAAAGGAGAATCACATCAATGCTTACTCTCTCATTAAAGATTTGTTATGTCGAAAAGAACATACCCAACCACTTGTACACTCTGTGCTTCACCATTCTTAAATGCACACAAAACAATACTGTATACATCTACTGTGTAAAACATCAATAGTCTGTACAACAGTCTGCCACTCATCATTAAACATTTCCAGCAAAGAAGTGTTACTCATTAAAGGCCAATTCTGGGGATTTTTTGACCATGTCAGGATAATGGTGCTTGAATGTTTCTGAGACGCTCTTGTCACACACCAGATAGCTAAAATGATTGACAAATTTGTAAATAATTTTTAATTAGCAAAAAATCACAATACCGAAACCGAAACTCAGCCAAGTGCACTTCTACGTGTGATGTAAAAGTTTGCTCAAACCACGGCCAGGGTAGACTGCACCTGCGTGGGCTTGTTTTCCTACGGCTTTCTCAACCTCCACGAATACAATGGGAGAGTTTGTGAGTATGTTTCGCCACCCATCGGCAGTAGAGGCGCATCGACTTTGCCATTGCATCTTCTGCGCCGCGCGCACGGCACAAGGGAGATTGTCGATGTGAAACCATGGAATAAGGGTTCTTAACGATAAGGGGGAAGGAAGATTACTCAAGAAGTCGGGGGTAGAGGGATCATCTCTTCTTTAAAAAAAATAATGTTATCAGACAACTGGACATATAATTTAGGTGTGCATGTGCTCGTCGATAATACAAGCTGAAGCTCGGTAAAAATGCGGAAAATTGGCTAACGAGGAATAATGCATGAAGCATAAAACATTGGAAATGATCAGAGAGAGATAAACAACACTGTATCTGTTCTGCAAGAGGCGAGCACTAAAACACCTTTGGCACTTGCTCTCGTTAGGCGAGGCCGCAATTACATGTTGCTTACAGAAATGACGAGCACACCGTTCCTTTGATAGCTATTTTCTATTTTTTTATTTTTACAAATACATCTGTAGTGGTTTTCAGGGCTAAAAGCCACAGTCTGCTGCTTGACAGCTCTTTGAAACACGTATGTGACTTGTATCTCTAACAGTTTAAAATATAAGTATAAAAAAGTGGAATTTCGCTGCTGAACAACCCCTTTGGACGGCACGCCATGGAGGAGTGGCATGCATTGTCAAGGTGTTAACACTATCTGTAAACATTAATTCCGGAGACCCCGAGCTCCTTTGCGTTCCTTTGTACTGCAAGCCACATCCATGAAGAATGCAGCTGCTTATGCTCGCAAGCCGCTTGCATTCGGACTAAAATCTCTAGTGCAAATCATTTCTGCGCTATACTTCCGAGTTCATGGAAGTACATGTTTAGGAAGAGAAACTGACATCCCAACTTTTCGGCAAGTAAACACCTTTTTTTTTTTAATTCTCTTGTGGCTCTACAAACAGGTTGTTGCCCATTTCTCTTTCCCTCTAATGAAACTTGCTTTATTCTGGTATTTGCCCACTGCGGCTGCATTTTGTTCAGAGCTTTCTCAGTGTTCAGTCTGCAGTGTTTTTTCGACTCGGGAAGACAGTCGTACAACCTTCAGTACGAGCAGTGTATTGTTGTGTTCCGTATTGCAAGTCCTGTTCGGGGGAAAACACCCGGTGTTTCTTTTCACCAATCCCCAAGCAATGTTGAACTGTGCGCTTAATGGCAAAAGAATATTGCAAGAGAGAACCTCATTATCAACGACAAGTCTGCATCGACTGTCGTATGCAGTAGACACTTCCGCGATGTAGACTATGTGCCTGCGTGCTACATCAGAAAACTTCTTCCCGACTCTGCACCCACTCTCTTCAAGGACTATTCTTTCTACAAGAGAGCGAGTGCAAAGAAGCCCTGCAAAGATCCTGCTTCACGAGCTTCGCCCCTACGCCAAACAAAGGAAGAGAAAAGCGGAGACTAACGAACCAGACCTGGATGTTGCGACTTCACAAGATGCTTTCACTGAACAAGAAGCAGTAAGTGTTTGTATGCAAACAAAGAACAGCAATGCTCATCGCGCGAGTTGATACCTGGCTATGATAGGAAGATTACGCTCCAAAGTGTCGTACCATTGCTCGAAATGTGAGAAGGTGCAGCAGGTCTTGAAAGAAGAGGAAAAGGCGTCCACATATTATCTCGAAAGCAAGCACCACGCGTGCGTTAAGAAAATCGCAACAGATGCACAGAAAGGAGAGAAAAAGGTCGTGTTTCTTTTGTCTCAAATAGAATGTTACGGAGATAAGCATTCAGCGTACCCAGAAGAAGTTGTTAGGAAGTGTGTGATGTGGTGCTTTGTGTCCCCAAAAGCGCTACGATCACGTTCGCCTTCTGGGATTCTGACACTGCCAGCAAAGTGCACCCTTCAGAGGTATATAGGTCCAAGCCCAACATCTTCCGGTATGAGCAATGCTATGAAGGACCGTCTGGTTCACGAGCCCTCGCTACTCTACAGCAAACAACATATGGCCTCATTAAAAATAAATGAAGCAAGCATAAAACAAAAGTGCATCTATGATAGGAAGGCTGATGCAGTCTTTGGCCTCAAGGACAAGCCAGAAAGTAGGATGGCAAATACAGCGAAAGAAGCCCTTGAGAACAGAATCCTCTGCTTTGTGCTGCATGGTACCGCTAGTCAGTACAAAATTCCATGCTCGTACTACTTCACGAAGCAACTGAGCGGTAGAGACCTCTTTGCATGGACGAAGGAGGTCATTGCTGCCGTGGAATCATGTAGCTTTATCATCATTCGCATTGTCACGGACAATTATTCAGCAAACTTGACGATGTTTAAGCACATGGGTAATGGCAACCTCAACACAGTTGTACGTCATCCACACGACGCCAACCGCATTATCTTTCCGAGTTTTGACCCGTACCACATGCTCAAAAACATTAGAAAACAGTTCCTCGAACAGGAACTTACAGATGGCACAGGAGTGATTAGCGGTGCGTTTGTGCAGAAATTATATGAGCATCAAAAACACAAGACTATGAAGCTCACCCAAAATTTGACGAGGAAACATGTCTACCCTTCCAATTAGGAAAAAATAAATATGCTGCGAGCAGTTCAAGTTTTCGCCCCTCAAGTGTGTGCAGCCGTAGAGCACCTTCAGCAAAATTCTGCGGGTGCTGCCAGAGATTTCAAGGGAGCAAGTTCAATCGTTTTCTTCATGAAGTCTATGAAGAAATGGTTTGAGATCCATGACACTTTATTCAATGGACGTGGCCACAAAGCTCCCATTTTTAGGAGCAGTGACAATCGCCTACTAAAGCTGAAGGATGAGTTTATCTCATATGTGGAAAAAATACAGAAGAGTTCCATCGGATCAGTGAGAGCTGACTTCACCGAGACGTACAACAAGGTCGACAGTGGAAACAACAGAATTCCTCCTGAAGCAAGGCGTCAGTTATGTCCTGACAAAGAAATTGAACAGTGACCTCATCAAAGCAATCTTCGGAAGGGTGCGGTCAATGTGCGGCAGGAATGACATGCTGGATGCTAGAGCCTTCACCGCTGCTCTGAACCACATCGTTAGTTGCACATCTCAAGGCCGAAAAAAATCGAGTTATAAAATGTGGAAGTTGAGGAAGAGGCTGCGATGATATCGAATATACTTGATAAGGACCTGAGCTCTTTGTTGGAGTACAAGACTTGTCTGTCTACATCTGTCACCTTCTCCAACTTAGCATACCTCGGCAGTTACATCGCCAAGCTTATTACAGCCCTCGGATGTGACTCTTGCGCTGCGCTGCTGACAACCAACAACAAGCAGCATCAGCTGTACAAGCTGCTGCGAGCACAAGAGAGGGGCGAACTACACTACCCGAGGCACGAGTTTCTAGCTCTTGTCGACAAGATAGTGGTCGTTTTTTATAAGGCCTCTGAACACCTGCCATGCAGAAATGTGCTAGAAGTTTTGCAAACAGCAGTCCAGCCCTACTTGCAATGCGCTCCCATCTTAAGCTGCCCTGAAAGCGTTGACAAGAGACACTCCCGACAATCTGAAGATCTCATAGCCAAAAAATTCCTAAGAATTCTCCTCGTCAACCACACAAACCAACTGACTGACGCAAATGACAAGCCTTCCACCTGCACACCCAAACTGACTAGGAAGCATTTTGGGCTGTGAACAAGACATTTGAGAAGTCCAGCAAAGTTTTTTACTTGAAAGTGTTCAACTATTGCAAGTGCTTTGAGCAATAAATATTTATTTTTCGACCTTAGAATGTCTACGCGTTTAATGGTGAAGAGCTATACTTCGGGCTCTTAAATTTACACATTTTTCAATAAACTTAAGCTCGATGCACCTTGCGCAAGTAAGTTAAAACAAACCATTTCTGTGCCTTGAACAATTAGGCAACTTGTTTTTTAACGCGCGGTGAGTGGAGAAGCGCGCCCGAACTCAGGAGCGGCGGAAGATGGCAGGGTCGCAGTCTCCCCTCAAATGAGTGGCGAGAGGCATGTACTACACCCATTGCGAAGGCCGTAAGAAGGGAGCACGCAGGTACAGTCTAGTCCAGCTGTGCTCAAACCTGCCTGATTGCACATAATGCCCACCAGATGGCACTACCTGTCCACGTTGTGCAAGTTTGTGCCTGCGGCAATCAGCTAATACAATTACACTGTTATAGTGAATATATGGTGAATTGTATGTGGCCAGCAATGCAACACCACTTGCCATGCCCACCAACATGGAAAAGGAAATCGCACACTCAACTAAGGAAGCGTTGGCCAAACCCACAAAATCTATAGAAGACAAGCAGACGCTGTTGTGGCACATCACTTCCATCACTTTCACCTTTTTCCTTCCTCCGTGCTTCCACCAGTAAAAACTCAACGTCACACACACAGTGTTGCCATTAATTTTGGCAATCAAGGTGAGTGTTTGGAGGCAAGCTATAAAATTCGTTTGAAAAAAATTTGTGAAACTCTCAAGCCTGCAATTTGGCATGAATGGTGCAAACATGCGAGAACTTACCCAGTGAATTTCGAAAATCACCGGAGTTGGCCTTTAAGGAAAAAGCCTAGATGTAGTATGCAGTATTTGCACTTCAGAATAGTGTACATATGATGGATACATGGGCCTTAGTTGGGTGGCTAGTATAAATATTTCGTTAGATTGTCCGTGGTGGTGTCATTCCCCTTTCTTGTTCATGTCTTATTTCGCACTTAAATTTTTAATAAGCCAGAGCTCACTCAAGCACTAGATGTCTACACACCATCTATAAAAAAAACATAACTTGCCAAGACATTTAATAGCCCTAAGCCAAGGAGCAACTAGCTCAGCTGACGAGCTTGCAGTCAATTCAGTACTAAGAGTGAGGCACACAAAATAAAATAGCCATTTTGATCAAGATATGCAACTTGATTTGTCCAAGGTTCATTTGACATTACACTATAAAGAAAAATACAGCCTTTATTAAGGACTGCTAATTAAAGTTTGTAGCCTGGGAGAGGTGTGTCAAGCACCTCCCGCAAGGCTCCTCGGACTGTTCGTATAAACGAACCGAATCCATTTTCAGAATCTATGAAAGTTGTAGAAAGAGGCTTGTTATACTCCACAGATTTTTCATTTACCTAATTGATGCCACACATGTGATCGATCGTTGGGCACCAGAATACCTCATCCTGAAAGCAGCCAGTTTTCCAGGTTGACTGAAATCACGTGCAGTGGTGACTTGACTGAAAATTAGCTTGGTGAATATTTTACCTAAAGACTGCACATATTAATTTGCTTCTAATATGTCACTATACTACAGGTGAAAACAACTTTTTAAACATATTTTGCAGCATGAATACCAAAGCGATGGGTGTACACCAAGCAAGAGAGAGTGTTGGCAATCGGAGGGATTGAGAAAATTGGCGATTCATGATCTTGGTATTCTGCAAAGAAGAAAACAGGGACAAAACTAACCTGACCGAGATAAGTTGATAGTCTGTGCTTTTCTGTATTTTTCGTCGTTTCTGTTTTCCTCTGTGCAGTAAACCAAGGTCAAGAGAGAGTTGCCAAGATCTTACTGGCACCTAGCAAGGGGCGGCACCAGCTTGATGCATTACCAAAGCTACAGAATGTGTTGGCCACCATAATGAGCGTACCTATGCTGTGGTCCATCACTTCATCCTTGCATTCAACTGCCTGCAATAATGGTTGAGCATTTCTCAGAAATATGACAGAAATAAGCTTTGCTTCTTTTCAGAAAACACTGCCACTGAACCTAACATAATTAAGTCAAAGTACCAAGCCTACCAGAAAGACAACAAGAGCTATATTAATTAAATGTCAAGAGTATGGGACATACGGTAAGTGAAAATACACAGCCTTGGACATGTATAAGCATGATAATACTGAAGCTGGAAAACCCAGCGCATTAGAAAACTGTTGGAAATATGATTTTACAAAGACCAAAATCGCATCCAACTAAACACAATCGCTCTCTTACTCTAATGAGCCACCAGAAGTGCATTGGCATTCACGATATGGTCCTCGTACTATGCAATGATACCTTTAATGTAACATCATGTAGACCAATCGCACTTCACACTGCCATCCAACAAAAACTCAGGCTGTTTATATGCTTGAATGCATTAATTTTTCCATCCTGAGGAGAATATATGCTGGGACGTGACAGCTAGCTAGCCATGCAAGCACTGCATGTACACAGAGGGAACACCGAGGGTGCAATGCTGTCATTAGTAACATCCAAGTACTCGTAACATTATAATTACAGCTTCACACTTGCAATTTTTTTGCACAAAAGGGACCCTGCAAGACTTTTGAGGAAACTTACAGGACAACACTAATAGCGACATAACAACTGAGCGTTATGCCATTACTGCATCAGATGAACACATCAATAAATATAAAACTACAATTATTAATTGAAAATATGTGCAATATCAGTTCATGCAATACTATGAATCATCTAGAAAAATACCCCATGACTTACAATTGTGTTTAGAATTGCACAGTTATAGCTGAGGTGTTGAAACCATAGAGCATTTTACACTACCTAGGGAAAAATCTGGCACTGGGAGTCATTGTATGCATGTGAATGCTGAAATTTGTCAGATTATGATTTGCATAGATATCAAACCGCCCGGACATCTCAAAGGTGCTCAAACTGTCTGGCTAGCAATATTCCATATATCACAATGATTAATCTTCTACAAAATCAGCATGTAAAAAGTGGTTTTTCATTATAATTGCATAAGTTCTTTGTTTTTTTAACAGCTGATTGGATGTGAAATTTTATGATGTGTAAACATGACATCAGCAAAAACATTGCTCTGTCATGATCATAGGTCGGCGAAACCTGTAGAGCTCACTCAGGCTCACTCGTGACACATATTTAGGGCTTCAGGACTTACTAGAGCTCAGACTCACTAAAATTTTCCAGAGTTGGATTCACTCGAACTTACACTCACGAAAATTTTCTTCAGCTGGACTCACTCGAACTGAAACTCACCAAAACATCACTCACCCAGACTCAGACTTACGGGCTCGATTTGAGTCTGAGTCCGAGTGTGTCGACTTACGAGCCCGTAAACCTAGAATTACTTTTTGCGGCCGTGGTGTAAATGCTCTTTAACACCAATATCTCATAAAATGGGTGTTCTTCTTGGTGCCGTTTGACATAGTATCTTCAAAAACGAGTTCTGACTGCTTCCGAACCAGTAAGATTTTCCTTGGAAGAGATAGCAGCATAAGATAAAATAGTCAAGAAATTCTCTGGAAGACTTGCTGGGGTAATTCACACCTATAATTAATAAATATTTAAATGGTGTATAAATGACATTGATCTAAATACCTGTGAGTAGATGCGAGTACAAATGTGAATCCAGATAAAGCTGACAGTAATGCTGAAGATGACTAGATAGAACCTTAGGTTGGCAAAATAAAGTGAAACCTACTCAGACTCAAGAAACACATTTTGCGCTTTGGACTCACTCCGACTCAGACTCACCAAAATTTTCTTGAACTCATACTCACAAAAATGAACTCGCACTCATACTCACCCAACCAGACTCACTCAGACTCATGAAAATATTACTCACCCGGACTCACTCAGACTCAGACTCACGGCTCGATCCGAGTCTGTGGGTTCGAGTGAGGACTCACGAGTGAGTTCGCCAACCTATGCTTATAATTATCATAATTATGTTAGCTGTAAATTTAGTGACAAATTAAAATTTCATATTTGGCCTAGTTGGTGGTTTATGCTTAGGAAGTAAAAACAGTGCCAAAATATAGACAAGGACCAAGGAAGAGACGACAGGGCTCTGACAACTTGAACAGTCCAAGCTTGTGCAGCGAGTTTCAGTAACTATCAGCACCCTCTCGTCTCTTCCTCAGTTCTTGTCTATATTTTTGCGCTGTTTTTACTTTCCAAGTAAGTGTTATGTTTTGGCAAACATGTTTCATCAACTCTGAAGATATGTCAGTGTTCTATTAACACACTAAATAAGTATTCCTCAAAAAAATTAACCAGGTTCCTGACCTTTGCCATGCAGTCTGTGTGGGTGACATAACTCTCTGGTATACAATAGGCAGCACCAGAGGGTGAGTCAGCTCCACAGAGCAGAGTAAACATAGTAAATGTACCTCCATGAAAAATGGGCATCTGGAGGACCCCTTCATAACAAAGATATGCCATGAAGATTCTTGGTTGCTATTCAAAAGAAAATGCAGGCACTAGAGAGTTGGCAAAGCGCATTATACAACAAATACATCATCCCCCACAAATGAACAGAATATAGGGAAACACAAACTATCACAAACATTTTCCAGGTACATCTTCCAAGCTTGTGCAGCCAGTCTCAACAACTTGAAATTGAGAGATCGGTAGAAAAGCAGTTACTATTGCGGGGACCACTCTTCACATTGTGACAACGCATGCATCTTTGCAAACAAAACAGGAGAAGTCTGATTGTCTAAACGTCAGCTCCAGCAACAACCACATGTTCACGAATTTCTCATCTCTTGAACATGCAACAAAGAATTCAGGAGTCAGAATGCTTACAGTACCAGCGGCTAATTTGGAGCTCCCAGAATGCGAAAAATGCATGTGTTGAGCATAGGCTCACAATTTTGCCAGCGATTCAGGTGGCATACAATATTACGAGGATAATAAAAAGCAGCTGAAAATAAGGACTACCTGTGACTCCACCCCTACTCGTTCTCATTTATTTCGTGCTGCTAGAACGAAATGGAGCAGGCAATACATCGTCTGAATAGAATAGTTCACCGTGGCAATCGCCTCGTATCACCACCGGTGAAGAATATGGTATCCTTTCTAGATGAAAGAGAACAAAAACCAGACTTTTTGTGGTACTGCCTCTCCAAGTTGCTGCACCATCTGCATGGCGATACTATGTCATGATTGATGCAGCGCTACGGACGAAGACAAAGGGGATACAGAGTACTATGATACCAGCTCTACGGTAAATACTTTTGAGAATTTTGTCCTTTTAGCATCAATCAGTCAATGAAAAATCTCTGGTTGTAGCTCTCTATACTTCAGTTTGGTGGCAAATGAATACTTGCCACTGCCAATCTGGTGATTTTTACTGCAAGGTTAAGTAGTGCACTTTTTAACATGGACAACAGGGATAGGAAAGCCACGACACTCACTACCAATCTGGTGACCTCAAAATTTGGGCAATTTGTAAGGAGGGGTGAGCACGATGTGTCAGATGAAAACTGACAAACATGATAATTTACTGTATCTCAGCGCTCCAGCGACGTCATAAATGAATGATTGCCAGTAATGTTTGCAGCTTTACTCGTAATTAGCTTTTACTTGTAATTTTACAGCACGTGCACATGTGCATAATTGAGGGGCGAAAATCTGCTGTGTCCCGTGACAGCTAGTTGCCCCTTGCTTATCTTAGTTCGCTTTTACGCATGGCACTTGTTTAGTGTCCTGAAAGTGACTTAAGCATTCCGCACGTATTGTTTGCTGTGCTGAAGGCGACTTAGGCATTCTGCACCTGATCCAAAAACTTGAGAACCTATGTCCTCAAGCTTTTAATGTTCAGTGGCGCTGAAGCACTTTTTTTTCTGTTCTTCCCTTGTGTAGAATACTGTACTGTAAGCAAGTTTCAACATAAACTTTTCTTAATACTTATTACAGGCCTCCAGGGACATAACAAGGTTATTACTTTGAGGAATAGGAGCACAGAGAAGGAAGTTTCTACATTTCCACAAACCCACATTACCGCGTTACCCACAAACCACCATGCATTTTTACAGTGAATCTCTTCATGCTAAAAAAAAAAAAAAAAAGACCTGCATTAGTCGTCAACGAAAACTGTCATCATCATAAACTGTGAACGTTCTCTTCGTCAAGAACATGAGCGTCATAGAGTGGAATGTGATGCAATAACTCGGATAGGCGAGAGAACAAATACATAAAGAAAGAAAGAAAGAGAGAGAGAAAAAGAGAAGACAGGAAACAACAGAGAGAGAAATACAAAAAAAAAACGTTTCAAGAAATTTACAGAAAAAACTGAAAGCAAGACAGAGAAAGAGAAATGGAATCAAACTAAAAGAAATCGAGAGAAAGAAGGCATACCATAGCGACGTATCACAAGGAGATGGAAAAGGGAAGTGAGGGCGACAAGTAGAGAGAGCAGGGAATAGGGTGAAGCCTCGTATAGCCATGTCTTTAGTAGTACATCAGCATTTCAAACGTTTTTCTTGGAGGGGTACTGACACAAAAACTTTGGCCTCGCGTTTTTATGCTGCAATGTGTTGCTGGGGGCCTGTTAGTCATGACACGACACATCGTTTGCTGTAGCACACGACAGATAATTAACTACAGGCCCCTCATTATCGATCAGTTTCAGTTTTGATTTGAGAGAGCTCCGAAAACCGGGTGCAATTGTCCCCAACTAGCGTGTGCAGATCTTGACCACGTCACCACACAGAACTGTGACACACTTCCGCACAGCCCGCATCATGAATTACTTTCGAATAGGAAATGGTACTGCAGTGTCGCCAAACACAAATCTGTCTAAGCATGTGCCACGGCCACGCACTGGCAACCAGGCGCCAAAAAGTATAGACTGCGAAAACAAAGGCGGCAAAAAAAAATGGCGGCTATAACGTCACCATAACTTGTTTTATCGACTGCA